ATTCCAATCCGGTTTTAAAGCACAACACAGTACTGAGACAGCTCTCCTTAGAGTTTTAAATGACCTTCTTTTAACCACGGACAGCGGAGAGTGCTCTATTTTAATTCTTTTAGATTTAAGCTCTGCCTTCGACACTATAGACCACGATATTTTATTGGATCGCCTCAAAACGTGGGTTGGCATCAGAGATACTGCACTTGGTTGGTTTCATTCTTATCTTTTAGAAAGAACCTTTGCGGTCACCATGGGTGATTTTACCTCCTCAACAGCCCCCATCACCTGTGGTGTGCCGCAAGGTTCTATTTTAGGCCCCATTTTATTCTCTATTTATATGCTCCCCCTAGGACACGTTATGGCCCGTCATAACGTGTCCTTCCACTGCTATGCGGACGACACACAGATCTACCTCCCGCTGAGACCAAACGACCCTGGAAGTCTGGCTGCTGTGGTCGACTGTTTTAATGATGTGAACCGTTGGATGGCCCATAACTTCCTTCAACTCAACACCTCCAAATCAGAAGTCCTCCTCATCAACCCGCCTCCATCCATATCCCACATCCAAACCCACCTCGGCCCCCTGTCCTCAAACATCACTCCCTCCGCCCGTAACCTCGGTGTCATTTTTGATTCTCACCTCACCTTCCGCTCCCACATCAATAAAACCACCCAAACCTGCTTCTATCACCTCCGCACCATCTCTAAGATTAAAAACATTCTCACTCCTCCCGATCTCCATAAAGTCGTCAACGCCCTCATCTTCTCCCGCCTCGATTACTGTAACTCCCTCCTCTCCGGTCTTGATGCTAAATCCCTCTCCCGCCTCCAACTGGTTCAGAACGCAGCAGCCAGACTTCTCACTGGTTTTAACAGAAGGGAGCACATCACCCCTGTTTTAGCGTCCCTCCACTGGCTCCCTGTGCGATTTAGAATTGATTTTAAGATTTTACTGATTACTTTAAAGCTCGTTTAGGTCTGGCACCAAGCTATATTTATGAACTTTTAACCCCCTACGAGCCCCCCCGCAGCCTTAGATCCTCGGGCAGGTCCTTGCTGACCATTCCAAGGTCGAGGCTCCGGACGAAAGGTGATCGAGCCTTTTCTGTCCGGGCTCCTCGGCTTTGGAACGACCTGCCCGAGGAGATAAGGCTTGCACCATCAGTATCCTCTTTTAAATCTCTTCTTAAAACCCACTTTTATAAAACAGCTTTTAATTGTCAGCTTTAAACTTATAATGTTGTATTTTACTGTCTGTCCTGTCTGTTTTGTGGTCTTGTGTTTCCTCTGTTTGTCTTGTCTTCTTGCATTCATTCTTGTTTTAACTTTGTATTATGACTGATGTATTGTTTATTATGCTGTGCAGCACTTTGTAAACATTGTTTTTGAAAAGTGCTTTATAAATAAAGATTTATTATTATTATTATTAATGGGCCAAAAAATCTGCTCTACTGGAGCTATCAAAAATGGCCGCGAGTGGTCCCGCCCACAAAAATATTGTGAAAAAACGCATTTGCGCATGCGTCAGCCGGCGCAGCTCCATTCATTTGAACGAGAGACTTCAAATATTCACAGCGACTAAACTAGAGTGGACCAAAAAAATTCACCCCCCCTCAGGATTGACACACATTTTGGTCCATCCTGTAAAGACGTTTTTGAGAGGTCTGCCAATGCTATATGTTAGCATTTAGGCTAATTCTACTTCTGGGTCCACCCCCATCGGCCCGGGGTGGTATTGCAAGCATGTCAGCGCACGTCATTTTGGCCACTTTTGAGCTGAAACCCGCCCCCACTGGTCCACGCACTCCTATTGTTTACAACCGGGACCAGCTGCTGGCGCTGCGCAGTGCGGATGTCCCTCCGGGGGACAGACACACTATTCCGGGTGAGATTCTACGGAAAACACCCAGAGGCTGCCGCGCGTGATGGAGGGTACGAGGGTGAAAGAGATCCAGACCCGCGGTGGCTGCTGTGATCACCGGGAATGTTCCTCTCCAATGGCAAGCGGCACTGACCCGCTACCAGCTATGGCTACCAGTGGGAGTACCGACAACAACTTCCAGGTATTTACAGAAACATGGCTAAACACAGAAACTCCTCCCGTCCCTGACTCAATCAGAACTAACTCAGTCTATGCTTGTTATAATGTACTTTTGAACAAGAAAAGTCACGGAGCTCAGTTGGCGCGCCAGTATAATCGGTCCGTCTGAAACTCATCCTCCAGTGAGGAACGTTCCGCGGTGGAAAATACACATGCGATTAAAATGCGTCAATTTTTTTAACACGCTAATTTTTGTGACGTTAATTAATTGTAATTAACGCGTTAAAGTCCCGGCCCTAGTTTTAATATTACAGGTAAGTCCCGCCTTCCCTTCTCTTAGCTATAGCTCAAAATCCACGATGCAGTCAAACATATATATATATACATATAATATAATTTGTAATGTTCACTGTATTTATGGACAGAATATCTAGGCGCAGCCAGGGGTCGGAGGGGGTCCGGTTCGGAGACCACAGGATTTCATCTCTGCTGTTTGCGGACGATGTTGTCCTGTTGGCTCCAACGAACCAGGACCTGCAGCATGCACTGGGACGGTTTGCAGCCGAGTGTGAAGCGGCTGGGATGAGAATCAGCACCTCCAAATCCGAGGCCATGGTGCTCGACCGGAAAAAGGTGCCTTGCCCTCTGCAGGTGGGTGGAGAGGTCCTTCCTCAAGTGGAGGAGTTCAAGTATCTCGGGGTCTTGTTCACGAGTGAGGGAAGAATGGAGCGTGAGATTGACAGGCGGATCGGTGCAGCGTGCGCAGTGATGCGGTCGCTGTATCGGACCGTTGTGGTGAAGAGGGAGCTGAGCCGAAAGGCAAAGCTCTCGATTTACCGGTCAATCTTCGTTCCCTCCCTCACCTATGGTCATGAGCTTTGGGTAATGACCGAAAGAACGAGGTCGCGGATACAAGCGGTCGAAATGAGCTTCCTCCGCAGAGTGGCTGGGCGCTCCCTTAGAGATAGGGTGAGGAGCTCGGTCACACGGGAGGAGCTCGGAGTAGAGCCGCTGCTTCTCCACGTCGAGAGGAACCAGTTGAGGTGGCTCGGGCATCTGTTCCGGATGCCTCCTGGACGCCTCCCTGGGGAGGTGTTCCGGGCACGTCCCACCGGGAGGAGGCCCCGCGGAAGACCTAGGACACGCTGGAGGGACTATGTCTCTCAGCTGGCCTGGGAACGCCTTGGGGTCCCCCCGGACGAGCTGGAGGAAGTGTGTGTGGATAGGGAAGTCTGGGCGTCTCTGCTTAGACTGCTGCCCCCGCGACCCGGCAACGGATAAAGCGGAAGAAAATGGATGGATGGATGGATGGATAATTTGTAATGGGCACTATCTTTTTTAAATGATACATATAAAATAGTTAGTTTGTGTTAAGAATGTATATGTATAATGTGTTCTACGATTAACATTTAAATGTGTTGATTGATTGATATTTGTGTTATTGAGCGTGGCTAGTTCCGATAGCTCCTCACACAGACAGTAGCCCATTGTGATGAAGTGTTCTAGATCCATGCGTACGAACTAGACCCAAGTGTACGAACTACTGTCCAGAGTAATCTTAGTACTTTACACACCTGAAGTACAAGCACAGAGTGCGTTGGCAAACGTCATTATTGGTTTGAGAGTCTGTTATCAAGAATTAATGATCGGTAAAACGTTTTGAAATTACATTCAAATCAAGGAGCGTTCTACTCGAGCAGCAGAGGAGCCTGCAGCAAACATCTGATGAATGTCAGATCTTTTGTTGTGGATCAGATGTAACAGTTGCAGACGCTGGTTTCTCTTTAGGAGCCGCTTTCAGAGCCTTGATTTGACCGTTTCATGTGGGAGAAGACTAAATGAGACAGAATATTGTAGGGTTATTGAAGTTGATATAACACATAACTTGAGTTATTTATTTGATTTTGGAGAATTGGATCAAAAACAATCATGTAATGAATATAGTATTTTATTATAGCTTTATTTCAGGGCATCAGTTAATAAATCACAACTGATAACGTCACGTTATTCATTCAGTGGCTCATTGTTATCATGAAAATGTAATTGTTGCTGTACGTACATTGTTTAAATGCTATGGCTAAGGTGAGATAAGTCTAAGGTAAGGGCCTTTGTCCTTCTAGAATCTAGATGGATTGGTAGGCTGAGGCTTTCATGTGTTTGCAGCCTTTGTTAGAGGCTAAATGTTCTTAGCTTGATTTGAAGTTTTTCATAAGCCAACAATTGTGTGGAGCAGAGCATTCGACCAACCAGAATGTGACGTTGGTCGATGGCAGTCCTTATGCCCTCGTCCAGTGTGGGGTTGTCCAGGCCCTGGTCCGGTGGTTGTCCCATTCTCAGGCCTATAGCAGTTGAGAGGCCACTGGTTTAAAAAGACTCACGAGTACAGGCGGTCAGGCCTCTCGGTCCTCCATTTTCTTCTGGAGGGATAGAGAGCAGGGATACAATGATCTCCCCATGCAACCTTCTTTGAGAGTGACGCTCTGGAATTGTTATTGTCACTTCTTGGGCCGCCTCCAGATTACAGGGAGGGTCTTACCAGTGCGGAGGAAGGGCCACATACTGTACATTCCAAGACATGCCAAAAATCAGAGAACCCAAGTTTTGTGGATAAGTCTCCAGTTTAAAACATAATGCAAAAGAGGGAGAGAGGCTCTTCCATGTTTACTGTTAAATAATTGGGGGAAAAGAGATTATTTCCATTCCCCATACAATATATTTTTCAGATCTGAGATCAGCTGAGTGTATACATGGCCAAACAGCTTTCTGACATATCTGTAGTGTTGAAGGTCCACATTGTAACAGGAGAAAGTGATGGTGAGGTAATAAAGCCTAGGGTCTGTAGATCCAGAAGGCAACATTCAGAGTTACCACAAACCTGATCTAGAACATCTGTGACTGAGCTGTCTGGTGTCCCAGGTTTAGCACTGTGTAGAACCTCTTTATAAATGCTGTGTGTGATTCACAGGGATCCAGGTCCAAAGGAGCCGCTGGACGCCATCTTCACGGTGAGTGTCCACCACCGCAGCTCGTGTGGCCTTCTCTGGCTTCTCTGTTCTGTTCCTGTGTCTGGAAGGGGACTGTTTATCTTTATCCTAATGATACATTACAAACGCCTTGGTTGAAGTTAAAAAACTTTAATCTTTTTTTACAATAGTAGGAACAGTACATGGCCTGGTGGACTGCAGCAGCTTGAGCTTCCCATAAAACTCTGCCCCCCAATGTCTGTCCTTCCAGTCTATTCCAACAGAAGAAGAGAGATCCACACATATCAAAGCAGTGTAACTTTTTGTCAAACCTACAGTATTTAAATAAACTTTGAGAAAAAGGACAAAGGGTCTGACGAGGCTTTACCATATCACAAGTACTGTCTGTTTCCAGAATGTAATCAGTGATTTACTCAAGGACAGAAGACATTTGATGATAACATTAATACTCATAGATTTCCTTCACAGGACATTCTGACTTTTGTCAAAGAGCAGCTGCAGAGGCTCCAGAAGCAACTGGCCACAGATTACCCAGAATGCCCTGAGAGTGAGGAGCAGAGCAGCAGAGAGGTTCTGAACATCACCCTGGACTTCCTGAGGAGGATGAAGCAGGATCAGCTGGTCCTGCGCCTGCAGAGCAGTAAGAACTCTGTGTCTGTAGCAACACAACATTTCCGCAGGTTTATTTCATGACGGAGCAACTGTAGCTAATGAGGAGATGAGCCTCATCACATCAGCTGCATCACATGTTGATATGTTCATTTCCCTAAAGCTCTGAACAACTGCACTTCAGGCACTGAAACTGTTTTACAATTATTCATTGGCTTTAAGTCACAACCTTGGTTGCTACTACTAAGGCAAAAACATTAAAGATGTCATCCGTCTGCAAAAAAGATGTGCAAAGCAATAAAAACAGCAACGTCATGAGCTTCCCTAATGAAAAAGTCTCTGACATGACTGACAAGATTCTGAGTATTGTTTTAGACAACTCTAATGTGAAAAACATCCTGTGTCAGTTAGTGATCCGCGAAGCACAGTCAGTTGCTCAGTTGCTAATATTGGGCGAATTCACGAACGGTTCTTACGAACAAATTTGTGCGTAAATCCTACTTACGAGGATTTTACAAAGATTGTGGCATTCACAAATATTTCTCGTAGCCAGAATTTCTCTTGGATAAGTACAAATCCTACGAGTGCTCAGGAGCACATTCAGTGCCGACATGTTCGCACGCTGGTGTTGTGAAGTTCCATAAAATACAACATTACAGTGATATGTTTGCCATATTGATGTATGTATTTATTTATTTCATTGTTTATAATTTAGTCATTTTAAAAATTCATTTGTAAACTAAATGTGCCAACGCTTTATCAAATACATTGGAAATCATGCCGTTAGTGACCCCATCCTATTGATAGGGGACATTTATCCATCCACGGGTCACAAAACAATGGAATATATACTGCTGCAGCAGGAGGACCGCGCTGGTCTCTCCATATGGTCTCTCCAGTCGCTGCGGTCTCTCTTCGGTCCGCGCTGGTCTCAGTCTTTGCGGTCTCTCCTTGGTCCGCGCTGGTCTCAGTCTTTGCGGTCTCTCTTCGGTCCGCGCTGGTCTCAGTCTATGCGGTATCTCCTCGGTCCGCTCTGGTTTCTGTGTGCTGGTCTCTCCAGTCTCTCCTCGGGTCTGCATTGGTCTCAGCGCTGGATCTCCTCTCAAGGTCCAAAATATTTTGAGATTAATCTCATAACATTTTGAGATTCATCTTTAATTTAAAAATATATTATGTTTTAATTTAATCTCATAACATTTTGAGATTAATCATCATTTTGCTAGTTTGACTTTATTCTCATAATATTTTGACTTTTAAGTCAACATTTTATGACTTTATTCTTTTCTGGCAAAAGAAGAAAAAAGGGTGACTCTTTTGCTCCGTGTAACTCTTTGCTTTAGGCCTGTTGCCGTTTCCTCTGTGTCTGCACACGGCCCTGCAGCCCCTTATATGGGCATTAATGGGCGGTTACCTATGCTAAGTACCTATGCTAATGAAGCACCGGGCACGCGCTCTACTTACGAGGAGTTGGCATTCATCAAACTGAGAGAACAGCTGCAAACAATTCAGCGGCTTACGAGCGCGTTGATGAATCCCAGTAGGGTCTTCTTAGAAATCTACTTAAGAACAACTTGAAGAAATTTAAGACGTTTCTTAAGAAGATATTTGTGAATGAGGCCCATTGTCATCAGTGGCCCTTACCACCCATCAAAAGAGGACAAGATAGATTCAGTGTTCTATTTGCACTGAAAACATGGCTGTTTACAGCATGTAATGTGCATTCACTGCAATACATTAATAACTTTGTTTAAACTAAGAAGAAATTAAACTGTGAATTAAACTATTTCTGTCCAACCTGTTCTTCGCCACAGTCACGGGTTGATAAAAAGCTCAAAACCGTGGAAGTGACTCAGAATCTGGAGGTAAGGTATATCCTGAACAATGAACTACATAATCGAGGTGGATGTGATCATCTGTTAAACACCCTGGGTTGCATCTGTATGAATGGTGCTGTTGTGGAATTACTGCACATAACAAGAGTAAAATAATGTAAACAACCCAGAGCTGTAATTCCAAACAAAGTGTGAGTACATTCATTAGTAAATGTGCACAATTACAATGAATAACAGAACCGATACCAATACCACCGGGCAGCCGTCCGAAATCGACTGCCCCGATTGAGGAAATGACTGTACATTAAATAGACCAGAGTAAACAAACACATATCTACTCTAGATATTACATAAATGAAGTCAACATTGATATGTTTTGCTCAAGGCTTCTCTGTACGCCTCCTAACGCTGATACAACTCTGATATATGTAACAATCTGCTTTTGAACTGAACACATTGTTCTATGACCCAGGTCAAAGACATGATGCAGCACGTCTCCATCTATCACTGACCTGCTGCCAACAGAGCATTATGGCCTGTATCTGAATCCAGAGTTGACTATTAGTTAATAACTTACACTCATAACTATTTGGTGTTAATTCAGATTGCTTTACTAAAATATTTCTATAACAATCCTATCTCTTGATAAATATAAAATCTTGGTTTATCTTAATCAACTTGAAATAATAATAGAAATCACAATGATTATGAATTAACACAAAATCTGAACATTTGAGCAAACACACACAATAGTTAACTAACTTTATTACAATATTAAAACCCACACTTATATACTTGCTTAGATGAATCACCTGACTGGGTCACAGACGTCTGCCCAGGGGAGACGAGGCGTTACTGGACCCGATGGGTCATCAGCCGACCCTCACCTCTCCCAGAATCGACGCTGTGCCCGCACAGTAGACACTCCAGCAGTGCTGGGTGCACTCTCTCTCTCCCTGAGAGTAGAACCTGAGTATGTGGATTTAAAATAGACCTGGTCCAAAGATGGTTCCAAGTCCAAGCCAATCTATTGGGTCTAATGCTTTGTCATTAGATCCGTAACACTTAACCTTAAACATGGATGCCTCACACTTTTCTGACCTCCTGTGCTTTCCACATGGGGTCAGAGTGGGTGGGAGCATCAGAGTTAGTGCACTGATTATCAATGCTTGAAAACCCTAGCATGTATGTGTACCACAAACCAATGCTAAGTTGTGCTAATCCTGAAACGTACACAAAACAGTTTCAAAAGCCCGTTTTGACGCAATGCTGAGATAGCCTCTCTCAGTCCACCCCCATCCTCGGGGTGGGCGTCCCGGCCTCCAGGTCAGACCAGCCGATTGTCCCAGTCTCTGACTCCGCTTCGTGAAAAGGCGGGGAACAATGTAGCTGACCCATGGCTCAGAGCTTCTATCTGTGTAACACCTGGTCAGAAGGCAGACCAAGTTTTGTCGTGGGGACCCTCGAGGTGGTCCCTTCCTTCGGCCGTTGGGGAGCAAGCCTTCCCTGCTTCGGCTCCACTTCTGCGTTGGAAGTCGGGCACTGCCGCCCCCACTTCTTCGCTGCCTCCTTCTCGTTGGTCCCCTTTGGCTCTGGGCAGCTGGGGTCCACCTGCGCTGGGCTGGACCCCTGATGGGGCGTCGACCCTCGCGGTGGGGTGCCCCCGGCACTTTTGGTTAGGGCTCCTCCTGGCATTCGCCGGACTCAGACCCCTCCTCTGGCTCGACCCTCGTGGCCAAGGCGTGATGGCGCTCTGTGTCTCCCTCTTGGAGATACGATCTCATGGTTGGTCACGTTTCTGAAACAATGTTTTGGCAAAAGGGTTATTTGTCCCCTCCCTAGCCTGTCCTCTGGGTCTGCGCTGCCAGGGCTTAGCCTCAGTCTATATTATAATAATAATAATGGTCTCCATCTAACTTTACTCATGGGTTATCAGTTTGAGTTTTCAAAACACTCCTCTCCAGCCTTGGAGAGCAGATAAGTGCATTCTGCTGCTGTCTGCTCTCCTCTGCAAGTCTCTCAGACAAGTCAGGCCTCACTAACTAATTATTCTCTTATGGTAAAACAACAACCTATATCCTAAAGATCAAATAAACTTTGAGTGTTTTGATGATTGTGTATCAAGATGAAAACTCATGGAGACCTGCAGGTGTTCAAAAACCAGGCCTGTGGGCCAATTGTGGTCCGCCAGACATTTTAGTGTCTTCTGAAATGATTCTCCATTAAAATTAAGTTTTAACTGGCAGTCTTAATTGCAAGGTTAATCTGAACCCCAAGGCATTATTCCCATTTTTTTAAAACAAACTCCCTCTGGAAAATTACCATATACCTTCTAATGTGTTGTAAAAACCACCTGAATTGTTAACTTAACAAACTTTGTTAAATCTATTAAACTATTCTAAATACCTTCATAATGTTAAAGAAAATTGTGTATCCACAAAATGGAAATTCAATAAACAAAATTCAACACTGTATTACTTTTGGCCTTCGTGTTTGTTTTGTCTGTCAGACCTCTGCTCTTATCACCCTCAAGAGTCACAGCATTACAGAGCTTTAGCAAAACTCTGAATAATATCCTAATACTCAAAGCTATACTATACACTTGAATTTAAACAAAAATATTAACAAGTTAAAGTTTTTAAAAAAACTACACTAACCACCTGGTGTATGTGGGGTCTCTACCATTTAACAACTAAAAACTATTAAAAACTTATCCAAACATATGGTAAATACTGTTTTATGTGAAACCCATATATGACCCACACAACACAATCCTCATTTATCGACCATGTCCCCCTTACTTTTACTGTAAACATGTGTCTGTAAATACATATATGTGTGTGCTGCTGTATGTGTATGTCAAATACACAAAATGAATGTAACGAGTTGTATGTGTTCATATGTTCTTTGAGTAGCAAACAGACTTATAATATTCTTGGTTTTATTACGTGTACTGTAGTATCATCACAGTGTTAAAGACTTACCATTTCCATATTCTTGACCTAGAGAGTGTTCTAGATTTATTTACAGATGTGTAAATACAAGTATACATTTATTTACACTAGAGTACACAATACTTTACCTTGTACCTTTACCGAGCCAAATTATTTTAAATTTAAAAGTATAGAGTTGTGCTACACTTACTATTCACCTGTCTTGTGTTGTAATGTCCCACTGTGGGACGTCTGAAAATCTCTTAATCTTATCATTACTGACTGTTGCTAAAATGAAAAAACTAACTAAAACAAGTGCAGTCAAAAGTCACATAATGCTGCATTTACTAAAATACAGGGAAAAAAAAAAAACAAAACCAAAAACTGGGGTCCCCCTTTGGCCTTTGTGCACCTATTGAAGGAAAAATATAAAACCTTAGTATTACAAAAATATACATTTGCCAAGTCTATCACTACAAAAAAAAGTACTTGGCTTTAAACATTTTTGGAGTCCTCATGAGGAAAATAGATAAACGATTTGGACCTATTTTGCTGCTGGTTTATTTTGTTTATTGCAAAGATGGCTTTGTTTACACCTCTGAAATGTACGATTACTCCAGCCTCTGCCAGAGTTATTTAACATGCCTCATTTTCAGAGCAGTCGCTCTGACGTCTGGCACTGTCTCTCTGTGACGTAGAAGTCAAACTCTCCACGTCTCTATGTTTTGGCTGAAAATGTCTTTTCAGCTGTTTTATGCCAATCACACACTTTCACACTTCTGTTCCCAAGATCTACAAGCCCCTCCCACTCTGCGGCTCTAGGCTCTAACAGAAACAATGTGTAATGTTGTGGGTGTGCTGTTTGTCATTATTGTCCTTATCTCTCTCATACCATTCTCTCTCTCTTTCTCTCTCAGATACATGCACACCAAACTCTGTTTTTGACATCACAATCGAGCAATGCATATTTCCAAAGTTATGAAACCTCAGGTCGTCTGACTAAAACATTACATTTACTAAATTGATTGTGGGATTTGGTGACAATTTACATTCAAATACATTATAGACAGACAACTTCTGTCAGAGTACTATTATACTACAAGGGATTTTTACCATTTTATTTCTTATTTTTACACACAGACCACAGATTTAGTCTCGGCTGTGGAAAACAACTGGGCAATTTGAAAACACAGAAACTCTGTTTAACTCACAACCTTCAGATTATTCAGAACATTTCAATGGATTTATGAAAAATTCCTTTGTCATGTTTCGCCTCTAAAGAAAAGAATGTGTCCTTCACCCATTCGGAGAAATTATGTAATAAATAAAGTCCTTAATCAAGGAGTATGTGGCCCACGGAATTGATTAAAGTAACCTATCCCCCACTCTATTTTTCTCTTCTTATTTTTTTTATATTTTATTTTTTTCTGACAATAGGGTTTGTCAAGCTACTCTAAACTTTAGAATAGTCTATATTTGTGCATACGTCAATGATCACATCCATCCCCAAATGAGTGCTTGTGTTTGTGGGGTCCTGACTTCTGGACATGTGTAGATGTGTGTTTGAGTCATGTTTTGTTTACGATACCCGGACCATGGTCTGCCTCGTCCAGATCGTCCGTGGGACCCTCCCAGACCCTCGTCCTCCAGTCAGTCAGTCCCATATCGTTCATGCTGGTTCCTGTGGAACTGTCCGGAAACATGGTGGGCCTGGGGCCATTTTGTCAGAACCAGTTGTTGCTTTGTCTCTGTCCACTCTTTGACTGCTGCTGTGGGCGGGGCTTCCCTTGTCAGTGGGAAAGTTTCTTGTGAACTGCCCTATCTCTTCACAGGGGTAGAAGCCTGTGGTCCTCTCTCTACACAGGGATAGAAGCCTGTGTTCCCATTCTCTGCAGGGATAGAAGCCTGTGGTCCCACCTGTATCAGGGCGGGTGATGGGCGGAGGGGGGGGCAGAGTTCTTGGCATGACTGGTTTGGGCACAGGGGGCCGGGGACAGAGTTCTTGGCTTTCATGACTGTTTGGGGCACCAGACTTGTCCATGTTGGGCTTTGTGGGTAACTGACGAGGGTTCTGGTTCAGGAAGGGGTTTGTCTTACCCTCCATATCATTGTCCTCCATCAGAGTCGGAGGTTTGGGGACGTTTAGTCACACGTCCAGGGTCTAGGTCGGGGTCCACACATCTGACCGGCTCAGAAGCATCCACGATCCCAGGGTTATCTATGTGAAAATAGAAAAAAAAGATACGGCAGTAACTTGCCCTTTGATAGATCGCGTGTGTGTGTTCGCGTGCATGTGTGTGTGTGTGTGTGTGTGTGTCGTCGCGCCGATACGCCTCTTGATAGAGTATTCAGGTGGTTCGATTGGGTCTTTTACATACATTCATGCTCTCATTCTGACTTTCCATTCGCTCTCCACACAGACTTGTATTTCTTTGTTTATCAGTCACTCTCACAGTCATTCTCGGTCACTCCAGTTCAAGTCTTATCACTCCTGGCTCGCTTCACACATCTCGTGTCACTTTCATACCAGTCTGTGTCGCCCAGGACTGTACTGGTTCTGGGCTCTGTATGTGTTTGTAATGTGTGTATGGTTTTGTCCCCAAATTGTAATTAACCAACTAATTAGTTTAAATCAACTACTCTTATTTTCTTTTCTTTTACTCCCTCTACTTCATCCGTTCACATACTCAAACACTCATGTTTTGTCAAGAATTTGTACACAGTACGCCAGACTCATTATTACATACGTCAGAATCTATTTGGTAGGTTTCATTTGCTAATTTTCTAAATGTTTGTAGTTTATATACTTGATTTAAGCTTGAAGACCTACTGTCCGGGAAACCCTATTTTTCCAGACCATACATTTGAACATTCAAGGGCCGTTGGCCCATATTTTCCGGCCATTGCCTTGGTCACCGCGGTTTGTGGGACCTCGTCCCTGTCAGCCGGCAATGATCCCTGATTTTGACCCATCTTGGCCCACTATGGTTGTCCCTATTCTCCTTACTATGCCTCCGAGTCAAGGCAGTTAATACAAAAAAATTTACCCTTAAACTTGCTAGTCGAAGTCAAGCTAGTTAATACGACATTAACTCTTGCCAGAGGCTGGGGAGGCTGGGGAGGCTGGGGAGGCCACCCTTCCTGGGCCGGGTCCGCGGCGAAGCCCCTCCAGACGATGGGACTGTTCGTTGACGCCAAATTGTTGTGGAATTACTGCACATAACAAGAGTAAAATAATGTAAACAACCCAGAGCTGTAATTCCAAACAAAGTGTGAGTACATTCATTAGTAAATGTGCACAATTACAATGAATAACAGAACCGATACCAATACCACCGGGCAGCCGTCCGAAATCGACTGCCCCGATTGAGGAAATGACTGTACATTAAATAGACCAGAGTAAACAAACACATATCTACTCTAGATATTACATAAATGAAGTCAACATTGATATGTGTTGCTGCCAACAGAGCATTATGGCCTGTATCTGAATCCAGAGTTGACTATTAGTTAATAACTTACACTCATAACTATTTGGTGTTAATTCAGATTGCTTTACTAAAATATTTCTATAACAGTGCTTTATAAATAAATTTGAGTGCCTTGCAAATGAAATGTTAGCTGTTAGCCTTGTCTGTTAGAATATTATCTAATGCTATTATCTGTTTGTCTCTCTTCAGGAAGCATTGTTGGAGTTTGTAGAGATGAACTGAAGAAGCATTTGCAGCAGAGGTTCACCCGTGTGTTTGGGGGCGTGGCTAAAGCAGGAGACTCCGCCCCCCTGACCCAGATCTACACAGAGCTCTACATCACAGAGGGCGGGGCCTCTGAGGTCAACCAGGAACATGAGGTCAGAATCATGGAGAGGGCGTCCAGGAGACCAGCCACTCCAGAGAAAACCATCACCTTTGAAGACATGTTTAAGCCCCGCCCACACTCACCACAGCCAATCAGAGTATTGCTGACAAAGGGCGTGGCCGGCGTGGGGAAGACTGTGCTGACTCATAAATTTAGTCTGGACTGGGCGGAAGGCAGAGCTCATCAGGAACATCAGCTCCTGTTCCACTTCTCCTTCAGAGAGCTCAATGTTGTGAAGGACAGGAGCTTCAGCCTGGTGGGACTCATACAGCACTTCTTCAGTCTGCCCGAAGGTCTCTGCAGCTTTGAAGACCTCCAGGTGCTCCTCATCTTTGACGGTCTGGACGAGTGCAGACTTCCTCTGGCCTTCAGCAGCTCTCGTGTCCTCTCAGACCCCACAGAGTCCGTCTCTCTGGACCTGCTGCTGGTGAACCTCATCAGGGGAAGTCTGCTTCCCTCCGCTCGCCTCTGGATCACCACGCGCCCAGCGGCGGCCAATCAGATCCCTGCAGAGTGCGTCTCCATGGTGACAGAGATCCAAGGCTTCACCGACGAGCAGAAGGAGCAGTACTTCAGGAAGAAGTTCAGAGACGAGCAACAGGCCACAGCGATCATCTCCCACATCAAGAGCGTCCGCAGCCTTCGCATCATGTGCCACATCCCAGTCTTCTGCTGGATACTATCCACAGTTCTACAGAAGCTTCTGGAACAAACAGAGGAACCAGAGCTGCCCCGGAACCTCACACAGATGTACACACGCTTCCTGGTGGTTCAGGCCAAAGTCCAGAACATAAAGTATCAGCAGGGATCAGGAGCGGATCCTCACTGGACTCTGGGAAAACTGGCCTTTGAGCAGCTGCAGAGACGAAACCTGATCTTCTACGAATGGGACCTGAGTGAGTGTGGGCTGGACGCTGCAGCCGCCTCAGTGTACTCTGGAGTCTTCACGCAGGTCTTTAGAGAGGAGCCAGGCCTGTACCAGGACAAGGTCTACTGCTTCATCCATCTGACTGTACAGGAGTTTCTGGCTGCTCTTCACGTCCATCAGACCTTCTACAGCTTTGGACAGAACCTACTGAAGACACCAGCCTCCTCTGAGATGTCAGAGTCTCACCTGGATGAGAGCTCTCCGGATTCAGACGATGATTATACTGACTATAACCCCTTTTATGTAAGTTCAGTTCAGTTCTACCGTTGTGCTGTGGACCAGGCCTTACAGAGTCCAAACAGACACCTGGACCTGTTCCTTCGCTTCCTCCTTGGGCTGTCTCTGCCGACCAATCAGAGGCTGCTGTCAGGTTTGACTCAGACAGGAAGTGACTCAGGGACCAATAAGGAGACTGTACAATACATCAAGGAGAAGCTGAATGAAAAGAGTCTGTCTGCAGAGAGAAGCATGAACCTGCTGCACTGTCTGGTGGAGCTGAACGACCTCAGTCTGGTGCAAGAGATACAGATGCTCATGAGAGAAGGAAAACTTTCCGCCATAAGATCTACTGCTGATTGGTTGACTCTGTCCTTTATATTGCTGTCCTCAGAATCAGACCTGCAGGAGTTTGACTTGAGGAAATACTTGGCCTCAGAGACAGCTCTCCTGGGTCTGCTGCCGGTGGTCAAAGCCTCCACCAAAGCCCTGTGAGTCCAGACTGTGCTGCATGTCCTCTCTGAAGGTTCTAGTCTCTAATGTGTCTCTGTCCTCAGGTTGAGGGAGTGTGGACTGTCCCCTCGCAGCTGTGGTCCTCTGGCCTCAGTCCTCTGCTCCTCCAGTCTCACACACCTGGATCTGAGTAACAACGACCTCCAAGACTCAGGAGTAGAACTGCTGTGTTCTGGACTGAAGAGCGCCCCCTGTGGACTACACACTCTCAAGTGAGACTCCCATGATGTTTCTGTGTCCTCTGTGTCCACATGAGTGTAACGCTGTGTGTCTTTAGGCTGTCTGGATGTCTGATCTCAGAGAGGGGCGGGGCTGCTCTGGCCTCAGCTCTAAGCCCCACCCCCTCCCATCGAAGCCCCGCCCTTTCCGATCTGAGAAAGTTAGACCTGAGCTACAACCATCCAGGAGGTTCATCAGAGCTGCTTAAGGCTCTACAGGACGATCCAAACTGCCCCCTGCAGGAACTCAGGTCTGACCCTACTCTGCTTTGGTCCTGGTCAAAATCCTCGTCTTAGTCTCAGGTCTTGGTCTTGGAGCCAGGTCTTGGTCCCTGGCCCTGGTCCAGGTCTTGGTCTCTGGTCTAAAGTGCCTTGTGTGTTGTAGGTTGGACCCTGGTGGAGAACAGTGGATGGTTCCAGGTCTGAGGAAGTGTGAGTGTGTTTCTCATTCTCATTGTGCATGTCCCTGGACCTGATTTTGACCATTGTTTTGTTCCACAGATTACTCAAATTCCAGTGAGTTTTGTCTGGATAAAAACTCTGCTCACAGATCCCTCAAACTGTCTGAGGACAAACGGACAGTGACCCGTTGGGACCAAAGGTTACTGTCCGGGAACAATCCGGACAGATTTACAGACTTGCATCAGGTCCTGGGTAGCATTGGCCTGCGGGGGCGCTGTTACTGGGAGGTGAAGTGGGACGGGGACATTGTGATAGCAGTGAGCCACAGAGGAATTGGACGCAGAGGTAATACAGCGGTGAGTGAGTTTGGAGGTAACAATCAGTCCTGGAGTCTGAGGGTCTATGAGGGATGTTATTCTTTCTATCACAACAACAAAGAAGCACGCTCCTTGTCCCCCTCCTCCTTGTCCCCCTCCACCTCAGATCTCTCAGGTCGAGTGTCTGTGTTCCTGGACACTGAGGCTGGATCTCTGTCCTTCTATGAGGTCCTCTCGTCTAAGGAACTGTCCCACCTCCACACTTTCAACTCCTCCTTCACTGAGCCTGTGCTGCCTGGGTTTGGACTCAAAAGTGTAGGTTCCAAGGTGTCTCTGGTGAATTTGAGTAACAACTACTCCCAGGGTAGCCTGGTTGTACAACAGGCACGGTGGCTGAGTGGATAGCACTCTCGCCTCTCAGCAAGAAGGTCCTGGGTTCGAATCCCGGCCGGACCAGGGCCTTTATGAGTGGAGTTTGCATGTTCTCCCCGTGTCTGCGTAGGTTTCCTCCGGGTACTCCGGTTTCCCCTACCACTAAAAACATGCAGAATAGGTCTGGCATGTGCCTCCTGTACTGGCGACCCCGCTCCCATTTCTGTGTGGAGTGAGAGGACCAATGCCCAAAAATAATAACAATTGTAAACTGCTTTGTGACTCTGGTCTGTGAAAGGCGGTATATAAATAAAGATTACTTACTTACTTACTTACATCTTAGTACAAATCATTCTTCGCCACTGCCAAACCACAACCTGCCCGTTCGGCGCAAACTCTTGACGTCACTGGCACCGACCTACAACGCGCTCTCTGAGTAGCCGGTCTAAATACGACTGATTGTATTCGCTAACACAGGGACCAGATCCAGACGTTACATGCAGTGAAATGATGATTGAGCGGAGTGTACGGATGGCTTTGGCCAGGCTACCCCCAGGGAGACTCTCCAGGGAACTACCCCAGGCGAGAACTCACAGAAATCCACAGGGGGCGCTCTTTTTACTGGACCTAAATGACTCTTTCAACAAACTACACGAGGATTGGTATTTTCACATAACATGTACCAAAGTGGGTTCAAGATAATAGGTTGCTATTAAATCAGTAAAAAACAAAATGTATAATTCATGCAAAAAGCAACACCTAAAGTAGATTTGATCATAGGAGCAAAAATAATCGGGTAATAATTGATTCAAGTGTAATAATCCAATGGTCCTCTGGTTTCCTGGTCCAGCTCAGATGACTGCAGCAGTGTTGTCTGTACACGCTGATTTTGGGCTCCAGTGTAAATGCTGTGTTCAGGGACCATGACTTTCCAAAAGGACCTTTAGGGACTTTTTAGGAGTAGATGATGTTGTGTTCTTTATATTAAATAGTACTTTACTTGCAGTTTTTCTCTATGGCTTAAACACATTTCACAATACTGCCCTCACTTTTCACAAAACTCTAAACACAAAACACTTTTGTAAAGCTACATACACACAACCTCACAGTGTCTTTAGAAAACCAACCCATCACCAAAACAGTTGCTCATATTCTCAAAAGCAAATTCTGACACCAAAATACCCCTCAAGGTCTGCAAAATTGTAAACACTACTGAGCATCATTAATCACAAAATACCAAAACAATTGAAAACACAATTTTAAGAATGTGAGACTATTCTTTTTGCATTTTCACAACTGCAAGGATGCATTTGAGCAACACTTTTTTTATTATAAAATATGTTTTGGGCATGTTTCTGGCAAAATAACTTCCTTCGGCTGAACGCAGACAAAACAGAAATGATTGTCTTTGGTCCTCAGAAACAAAGAGAGAACGTCATCTCTCCCTGGAACCTGTAGGCCAGGTCAGAAACCTAGGAGTTATAATGGACTCAGACTTGAATTTTAACAGTCACATGAAATCGGTAACATCAGCAGCATTTTACCATCTGAAATACATTGCCAAATTTAGAAACATAGTGTCTAAAGCAGACCTGGAGATTCTTATCCATGCATTTGTCTCCAGTAGGTTAGACTACTGCAATGGCCTGCTCACAGGTCTGTCCAAACAGGCTGTAAAACAGCTGCAGTACATTCAAAATGCAGCAGCTCGAGTCCTGACTAGAACCAGGAAGTACGACCACATTAGTCCAGTCCTCAGGTCTCTGCACTGGCTTCCTGTGGCTCAGAGAATAAACTTTAAAACAGCTCTGCTTGTGTACAAGTCTCTCCATGGCCTCGCACCAAAGTACTTAAGCGACTTGTTAGTGCCATATGAACCGGCCCGGACTCTGAGGAGCACAGGGACTGGACTCCAGCTAGGACTCTGAGGAGCACAGGAGGTAGCCTCTTACTGGTTCCAAGAGTCAGAACTAAACATGGGGAGGCAGCGTTTGAGATTTATGCAGCTAAAATCTGGAACAATCTTCCTGAAGATGTGAGGCTAGCATCTACTCTGGCAATTTTCAAATCAGGGTTAAAAACTGTTATTTTCAGCTGTGCATACGGCTGATGGATTTTATTGATACATACTTTTTTTTTTTAATGCATTGTGGTTATTTATTATTTTAATCCCGTGTGTGCTTTTAATGTTTTAAGGTTTTTTCATTACTTGTGATTTTATTCTGTTTTTAATGTATTTATTGTTTGTATATGTAGATTTTTGTGTTTCTGATTTGTCTGATATTATGTGGGTTGTGAGGCGCTTTGAGTGGCCTTGTGTTGGAAAGGCGCCATACAAATAAAGTTGATTGATTCATATACTATAGATTTGTGCGTTTCATGAGAATAGTTATAACTGCATTTTCTGCATTATGTATCACAACTCAATGCAAACATGAGTAACTCTATGGAGGATCCATTACACACAATAGATATTACGGTACAGTAACAAATACACACAATGGATATTACGGTACAGTAACAAATACAATAGATACAACAGTACAGGAATCAGAATAATTTTTATTGCCACGTAAGTAACAGGAAGTCACAGACTTGGAAATTGCAATAGGTACAACAGTAACTATTAAAAACACATGTTCAGGGTGTGATTTATTTTGTAACAGTATGTTGTAAATTAAAATTGTTGTAGATGTAAATTGACACAGTATGTTGTCCTTAACCTAAATGTATAAGATGATACTGAGTTTTTGAGGAGTTCAGGAGGAGCTTCAGGGGGACACCGAAAATTCCAGATTCTCCCATGATCCAAGTCTGTTATTGTGCATAAAAGAGGAGGGAAAGGTTGGTCATTTAAAACTCAACAAACTAAAAATAAAAACATTGTGTTCCTTTATTCTCTTGGATTATACACTGTCACTTATTTGTGTACCTCTCAAAAAGGATAACAGGATTGCACTGACTTTTCATTGACTCTAAATTCAGAATAAATAGTTTTCAAAATGTAGTTTCCAATGTGGGCCTTTGTGTGCAGTACCTGAGAGCAACAGCAGATGGGGCTGTTCCCTTTCTCTCCACACCAGCTGACCTGTGCTCACTTGTGTCCAGAGAGGATTGTTCACTTGCAAACATGTGAACGTGGGGCGTGTAGTTTGGACCCGTGTCGCCTTTTGAAAATAAAAGGGTCAAGTGACATTAAACAGATTACAGATATTTTACAGATTTTTCTAACTCAGATCTGTGGAGAGGAGAGCCACAAGCACATACAGCATGAGTTTGATTCTGGGTCAGTCCTGATTCTGATCTGTCTTGATCCTGGTACTGGTCCTTGTCTGAGTCCTGGGGTTGGTCAGAGTCCTGCTCTTGGTTGAAGACGGTTTTCCTCTTCATCATTTTGTTGATGATTCGACTTGAACTTGTCGGGTCCGAGTCCAGTCCCCACAACAAATGAGTCAAATCGCAGGTCGCGGACCACACAAGGATATAAAAACAAGTATTCACACACACACACACACACACACACACACACACACACACACACACACACACACACACACACACACAGAGACACGTATGTAAATGTACAACACACACACATGTATAAACATACAAACACACGCACACACTCTCACACACACATACACACACGCTCTCACGCACAAACACACGCACTAACCTCACACACTTCACGCACGTGGGATTTTAGAAAAGCAAACATGCCACAGGTTGCCATAACAACCCTCCTCCACTTCCCTGTGTCTGCGTCACCTCCAGCGTCCAGAGAAACACTTGACTAGAGAGATCACCGCAATGGTCACACAGAGGATGGAGAGACACCGAGCCATTTTCAAATCCAGAGAGAATGGTTCTAATAAATTAATATATTATTGTCCCGTAGGAAATTCTGACAGAGATGGGCTTTTAGTTTATATATTATGAAATTATAGCCCGCATAGTACTTTCCACTCTTTTCATGAATAGCCTTTATTTTATTTTTTGAACTTAAACCTTGAATTTTGAACTTTTGGTCCCCTCCCTCAGCTCTGGCCTAAGCTTTGGGTAATGACAAGCGGACATGAGTTTCCTACAGAGTGGCTGGGTGCTCAGTCTCAAAGGGGGAGCTCGGAGTAGAGCCGCTGCTTCGCACGTCGAGAGAAGACGCATCTGAATTGGCTCCGGCATCTGTTTGGGGTGCCTCCTCAATGCTTCTCTATGGAGGTGTTCTGGGCATGTCTCATTGGGAGGAGACCAGGGAGAGACCCAGGGTGTCTCTCAGCTGGTCTGGGAACGCCTCAGGATTCCCCCAGATGAGCTGGAGGAAGTGTGTGTGGAGAGGGAATTAAGTCTGGGCATCTGCGTAGACAGCTGGCCCGCAACCCCGCAACAGATAAAGCAGGGTTAAATGGATGGATGACTTTCTTTTAAACATTTTCAACTCACAAGATGGCCGCTGTCACCTCTCCCCCTCTCCTCTCTCTCTCTCTCTAGTGTTTTGGCTTATCCTCACCTCCACGCGCGCCTCTCTCTCTCCCTCCTCGCGCTTGTCTCCATCCCAAACACAGACAAGAATCTCCCAGCAGCAGACGCACACGCACAGAATGCTCTCCCATCATCACCCCCCTCACCCAGCCGCACACAGCCTCCCCTCCTCCCCTCTCCACGCTCCGTACGCCCCTCTGCTTTCTGGATAGTCCCACACGTCTTCGCAATTAACATTTTGGACACTTTTTTTAATGGGATACAGCGACGCAAGGTGACGCAAAGATGAGTCGATGCGCCCCTGACCCATCGCCTGGACCAGACACGCGCTGGAAGTGATTTATGGTCAACCCAGCACCAGCAAAGGGACAGGTAACGGGATTGGATTAACGCGGTTTGACGTTTTTAATCCAATGAAACACGCGTTGATATCATTAACAGACGCATACGTGTTTAAATGTAATGTCCTGGCTGCTGGAACACACGTATGAAGACAATGCAACATGTGTATATAGAATCTTGCAAGTTATATAGCACATGACACCATCACATCCAAGCAATATTTTCCATTAAACTGCCCAATATCCAAGCAATATTTCAATACCATTCAAAGCCAAAAGTTATTTTTCCATCCCATTGTCTCTCTGAGGCTCCATAGAGAAGACTGTCTTTGCTGGAGTGGATTGAGAAAGAATTATGGCACTTTTTTAAGACTTCCAAATACATTTTTTGTCTTCCACTGAATTCAATGCAAGCCATGCCCATAGCCTTCTATATATATGTCTATTTTAACCAGGCCTACACCAGTCAGAGGTCACTCACTGCATAAATAGTTGAACAAAAGCCGAGTTTGGAACAAGGAACGAAACTCGATCCCTGGAGAGATTGGAAACCGGACACTGCTTGTCACCGAAGAAGCCAGCCACACTTTGGTTTTTGTTTTTCTCTGGTCGTCTGGGGAGCTTTCCAGGTGAAGAGGAGAGCCCAGAGGAGGAAGACGAGGAGGAGGAGGTACCCAAGGCGGGAACCACACCCACAGCTTGAGAAGCGTCTGCAGAGTTTGGCGGTTTGTGTGTTGTGTGTGCTCTCTTTAAGGATGCAGGTCGGAGGCAGGAGGCGGCTGATACACTGCGTGCTCCTGGGGGTGGCTCT